GATGCGAAATCGAGCCCGAACAACCTGATGACATGGACTTAGTCCTCTCCTCCATGTGGCCCGATGACATAAACGAAGCGGGCCGTCAATTCAACGTCGAAAAGCCCGGCCCAGCTGACCTGGACATGCTTGACGAGTTCACCATCCACAAAGAGCCCAATATAGTAGATTTCCATCGCCTAATGGAGCTCACAAACTACAGTGACAAAGGCAATTGTCAGTTAGCAAATCTGATCAAAAACTGGGAATTCAAACAAGAAAATGCCGTCCGTTTGCTTCGAGAAGAGCTCGACACGCTCAGCAAGCAACAGCAAGAAGTCGAGCTCAAAAAGCTTGAAATTCTCGAAGAACACAGATTTGAATTCGGAAGTGACAAAAGGCCTGTCTCGATTTTAGACGAGAATATGAAGTATTTGTATCAAGATTTGCCGAGGAGAAAGAGTGATGTGGATTTTTCGAAAGATGAGAGAGTGGAGATCGATGATGCTGAGTACGGAAGTGGGGTGTATTGGAAGGAAAGGTGTGTGCAGCTCGAGAAGCTTCTAGAAGATAGCTTGAGAAGGGAACAAGTGCTTCTCGAGAAGCTGCAGGAGAGTATCGAGAATTTGGAGAGGCAATCTTCGCCGGTTGAGGAGCTTTCGCAGGTTTTGAAGAGGGCCGATAATTTCTTGCATTTCGTGCTTCAGAATGCGCCTGTTGTTATTGGTCATCAGGTAAATGTTACTTAAGAGAAAAAAAAAAAAGCTATCTTTTTTTCATGTGTTTAGATTTGTATTTAGTTTTTTTGGTTAACAACTTTTCTGTGTTTTTGTACAGGATAAAGAACTACGATACCGGTTTATTTTTAACCATTTTCCGAGTCTCAGCGAGCAGGTTAGTTGACCTCGAGTCTCGAGCATAGTCTGATTATTACAACTTACCTTAATACACAAAAGAATGCTAAATTTTGTAGTGATAACTGATAAGTCCTCAGAAAAAATAACCGAATTTTTGCAGGATATCATAGGCAAAACGGATGTGGAGATCTTTTCAGGTGCCGGCGTGAAAGAATCACAAGACTTCAAACGGGAGGTTCTCGAGCGAGGACTACCGGCAAAGAGAGAAATCACATTCGAAACCGAGCTATTCGGTTCCAAGACATTCTTAATATACGTCGAACCCGTTTTCAGCAAGTCCGGTGAGACAATCGGAGTAAATTACATGGGGATGGAAGTAACCGATCAGGTAAAAATTTTAAAAAGAAAAAAAAAAATTATTGAGCTTTCGATTTCTTCATTTTTCATATTTCAAGATTTAAAAACAGGTGAGGAAGCGAGAGAAAATGGCGAAACTTAGAGAAGAAATGGCGGTACAAAAAGCTAAAGAGACTGAGCTTAACAAAACGATCCACATAACAGG